GTGTCACCTGCGCCGTCGCCCGGGCCGGGAGGGCGCCGCGCCGCCCTGGGCTGTCAAGGTCGGGGTCCTCTGGTGTACCGAGATCGCTTTGGTTTCTGTGGTTTTTCAGGATTGCGTGATGTTCTGTGGGTGTAAAAACCAAAGGACACCAGGGGCCAGGGTAGGTAGGGTGTTTTCCTTGGGGACTTTGAAACAGCCTGGAGGGAGCAACCTTCACCTTGGGAAAGCAGTGGTGGAGGTGTGTTTGAACTGGACGTCAGGAAATGAGAGTGGTACTTGTATTCGTCCGACTCAGATCTTGTCCGTGATTTCCATACAGGTTTCTGAGGTGGCCAATGAGTTGCTTAGTTGACATTAAAAGAGCTAATTTTTGAAGAGCAAATCAGCATTTATTGTGATAATTCCGTTTAAGTCCATTTTTTTGATTAAGCATTGACAGAGAACAGAATTTGACCTTAACCGGTGCTTATTTAACTCATGGAACTTTTTCCGTTGATCGGTTTTCAGGGTTTCACCTTTAAAGTGTGGATCCTGTCTCAGTTCACCCAAGTAACAGTTAACAGTTTTTGTTGACTGTCTTCTTTTCTGGTTCCTCCCTGAATAAAGAGAAGGTGACCTGTGGAGATGAAAACATGAAATTTTGAAATAATAATCTACCACGATTTCCATGTTCTTGAGCAACTGTGTTTTGGGCCTTGGGCTTTTCATTTTTTAACTGAAAACTTGCCGCAAAAATTTAGAGGTAATTTTGCATTCTTAAAGCCATGATACGGACCAATTAGCAAAACATATACCGTAACCCATATTTAACTGTACTGCTTTTGGACAAAACATGGATCTCACCATGGGCTCTAGGACGTCACACAGCTTTCTTATGGAATTTGAGATGTTTGGAAGAGAACTTTAAACACTGAGGCATTTTAATGAGGGAAATAAGGCTCTCGTGCATGGAGTGATTTCTTCACGGCCCCTTAGTTATGCTTAGAAAGTATGTTCATGATCTTGTGAGCACTTGAGAAATTTTTAAAAGGCATTACATATCAAGGTCCTTAAAAATTATTTTGTAAGAAGCAGGTTTATTTTTCAGAGTATCACATTTATTGATTTTAAGTAACAGCGTGGTCCATACTTCCACTGGCTAAATCTTTGCACAGAATTGTTAAGTGTTAACTCCCTTGCAGTAGAATTACCAGCAATTTATACATCCCTGAAAAAGAAAAACTACTGTAGACGTGGATTTTCCGTTCTTATGACAGCTTGATTTTTCTTTGATGACAGTTTTTTCTTAATTTAAATATAATTTACTTTTGAAAATGACTTCAAGAGACTTGAATAGTCTTGTATTACGTTTATTAAGAATAATCAAAGTCCATAGTTGTTTATTGGCAGTGTATCTCAGTGGATCCACCTATGGGTAACAGCAGATAATTGCTTAACAGTTCATGGATAAGTGAAATAAAAACACTTTAAAAGAAACTGTACTAAAATTGGAATGAAATACCTTAAAGGTTCAATGAACAGTGAAAAACAAAAGATGTATTTCCTGTACTGCCATATCTTGAAAGGCATTTTTCATTTATACAACAGACTGTAGTATTGCAACTTGTTTTGGAAGATTTAAGATTTAAAATTTTCACATACATAACTGATATATTTTAATTAAGAAAGACCACTTAATAAACAAGACCTAGCCGAATATAATTGCATTCTGATTATGTCTTTAAGGATTTTCAAAGTTAAAAGTATACTTTTAAACATGTACTTTAAAAATATGTAAGTGTATGTGTGTGTGTGTGTATATATATATATA